CTGAGAGGGGAGAAGTGCACTGCTCAGTACCCAACCCCTAGGTCCCAGGAGACAATCAGACACAGCAGGAACTTGACAGTCAGTCAAGCAGGAACTTGTTCATTTCCTTACAGCATGCAATTTATAAGGCAAAAATCCACGAATTCCAGAAGGAGAAGGGGAATTAGCCAATCACATCAGCAGTTACGTCTGCATGAACCATGGCTCCTGTAGCCCCTAATGTGGAACATGAGGGCATCAGACACTTTACTATCATCTTATCCCATCTTTAACTCCAATTATCTTTTTTTGTAAACAAGTCAGGTCTCCTCTTCCCTTGCTCCCCATCAGCGCCATCTTGGCTGGGACTATTTTTTTTTTTGCAGGTTTTGCAATGTCACTGTTTTTGAATTCACGCCCTTTTCTTGCTGTTACTCTTTTGATGTAGCTGTTAAGATTTTGGCGTAGCTGTCGCACTTTTGGCATCAACTTGGCCACTCCGCCTCCTATGTGTGCTATTCGGCCCACAGGCTGCTATGAGCAGACACACAGGGAGAGAGAGAGTAGAGGCTCTTCCTGTACAGTGAGAGTGTGCTTAGGATCACACACAGATGGTGTCAGTTCTGGTCCTATCAGGCAGCTCTGCTCCCCTTCTGTGGCTCAAATACAAGGCACAGAGAGGGGGCTTTGGAGGTCAACTGCTACTCAACTACCAAGTCCCTTGACTGAGGGAAGAGGTAAGGAAAGCCAAGAAGCTTAGCCCTAAGGACCCTCCAGGGGGAATGGGTAAGAGCAGGAGCTGGCTGGCCCATGTGCTCCTTGGAGCCCAAACTGTCCCTCCTACCTGCTTCCAGGAGAGTGCTTTTGGGAAGCAGAAGCTAAAGTTCTCCCAGCTTTCAGACTCATAAGACTGGCACTGCCCTTCTTTGTTTCATGGGTTATATTACCTGCCTGGCAAATTCTTGTGGTTCTTGTAGGTCACTCAATCACACAGTTACGATATTGATCCCCAGTGCCCAGACCACTCCTACTGTAACCATCTTACTTAGCAGATGGGCCCTCATGACCGCTTCCCTCCAGCTGGAACTTGTCGGGTGGCTCTGGGCACTGACTTTTCGGAACTACAAGCTCACCTGGTGCCCTGTCTTCATGGTCAAGCTATGGAAAATTCCGGGAAAAGACCACAGAACTCACGTCTCAGCTCCTTCACTCACCATGTGATCTCAGACAAGTTCCTCCACTTGTATGTTATGTATAAGGCGAACATAGTTTTAATATTCCTCCGATAGTCATAATTAGTATTAATAAACTAATAGCCTGCTACATTCTACAAAGTGTCAGCTATGGATGGTAGGCAGCATTATGTGTACTATGCTTTTCCTGTACCACAAACAGCTTCCCAGAGAGTGATTGTTCCTGTGTTCTTTGCTAGCTAACTCAAGGGAAAATGTTTGGGAAACTTGTATCCTATGACAACAAGATTGATTCCCGAGGACCTACCCTGCCCCTGACATTACCAGCATGGATAGTGGCATCCCTTTAGTAGGGTAGAGTTTCTCCCTCTCAAGGTGGCTGTCGTTTACCCATTAGCATGGAGGCCTGTGTGGGAGACAGTCAGATGCAGAGAACTACATAGGTGTTGAACGCCATTGTAGCCTATCCCACTTTCTGGGCCGAGAGTTACCTTGTTTCTCTTCTCATGAGAACTTGGCTGTCCTGGAAATAAGCGCTAATAGATTTCTTGGTTTCAGTGAAGGAGAGAACACATATTGAGGATTGTTGTAAGAGAGAGGCCTGCTTGTTCGTTCCGGCCGCCTGGCTAGCTAAGCCCCGAAATAACCACACAGAAATTGTATTAATTAAAACATTGCTTGGCCCATTTGCTCTAGTCTCTTATTGGCTAACTCTCACATCTTGATTTAACCCACTTTTATTAATCTGTATATCGCCACGTGGCAGTGGCTTACTGGGAAAGTTCAGCATGTGTGACTCTGGCGGCTCCATGGCGGCTCTCTCTCTCTGACTCTGCTTTCTTCCTCACAGAATTCAGTTCTGTCTTCTCTGCCTACCTAAGTTCTGCCCTATCAGGCCAAAGTAGTTTTCTTTATTCATTAACCAATGAATTTATTCATTAACCAATACAAGCAACACACAGAGTGGACTCCCACATCAGAGGATGAGTGCTGGCCACACACTCTAGTAGGTTCTACAGCACAGGTCATCTGACCTGCAGTTGAGACCAGCTGGTGAACTGCTCACCAGGCAGGGAGATGTCTACCTTGTGAACCAAAATCATCTCCCACGTCCTTATATCTGTAGAGCTCTCCTTTGTTTAAAGGCTCCAGGGCCTTTAAATCATCAGAGAACTGAAAATTAAAACCACGGGAAGACACAGTGACTTGTACCTACAATCTCAGCTCTTGGGAGGTTGAGGCAGGAGGATAGTGGGTTTAAGATCCCCCCTCAAAATAAAAAGCCAAACCCAGGAAAACCAAGCACATACAAACCAAATTTTACAATGAGATACTATACTTCATATAAAGTAGGGTGGCTGTAGTCCATAAGCCAGACAGTAAACACATGTTGGTCAAAAGTGGGAAAATTGGAATCATTGTGCTGTATTGGCAGAAATGTAAAATGCGCGTTCATTTTGGAAAATAGTTGTGAGTTTTGCAAACAGAATTTTGTGAAAGAGAACCACTATGTGAGCTATCACCTCCATTCCTTGGTTTGTATGCCTGTGAAAATGTTCCTAGACAGAAGCTTCTTGCAAATTGCTCCTAGGAGTAGTATTGGCAATAGACACAGAAACTATCCAAATGCCTATCAGCTGAAAGATGGGTAAGTTAAATCTTATGGCTGTCCCATACACTGGCATGTTTATTTGGCCATAAAAAGGAATAAAATCCTAATACAGGTCACTTATACGGATCACCTTGAAGCCTGGACTACATGAAACACTCACAAATTAACACAAAACAAATAAGAATCAAAAACCACTGTGAAGATGCAACTGGAAGTAACCAGGATTTTTTGAATTCAGGAGGACAATTGACTTGGAAAACTCTGATCTTGTTCTTCCTAGCTGAATTCATACTCCATGCTAGGTAGCTACTCTGACTCCATTCTGCAGGGCCAAATAGGGGATAATCATGTGTCCAGGTTGAGGAGGCATGTAGGTCATCAGCCCAGATCAGGAAAGGTCTCAGTGGACTATTGAACCCAGCTGCATGAGTGAGCAGATTTGGCTTGTAGAGTTCCCAGCACCTCCTAAGGCTTAGAGCCTGGTGGGGCAGCCTGGACTCTGCTCAGCTTCCCCCGCAACCCCAAAACACAGTTCTCTGGACTCAGTTTGGCACCTCTGAACATAATGAGAAAAAGGAACTGACCTGTCTCCTGTGAACCCCCAGATCCTGAATTTCTTGTAAACAACTTGTTTTCCTCTGCTCTGAGACAGCCTGCAGCTGCTCTGAGCACGAGACCCTCAGGAGTTCCTAATGGCAGGGGAGTGGTTTCTGGTGTGTTTGGCTGGGGCATGGCTATCAGTTAAGGATCCCTATATAAGCGGCTCTTTTACACAATGAAGGGGGCATTCCTGTTTCAAGGATGACCCATGTCTCTGTGTGTCTTTGTGTGTTTCGACCTCCAGCCCCTTGCCCGGTTCACTGTATGGTAGTGCATAGAGCACAGACGGGCTTGGTACGCTACAGGAAGCCAGCAGAGAGATCTCAGAAAGACGCCAGGCCTGGAAACAGACTACCACTCCCATAGGGTGAGTCTAGCCCCAAGGAATAGAGTTCAAGCCAGGCATAGTAGCAGCGTACACCTTCAATCCCAGCACTTGGAAGGCAGAGGCAGGTGAATCTCTTTGAGCTCAAGGCCAGCTTGATCTACATAGTGAGTCCTGTCTTGAAAAAGAAAACAAAAGGACAAAGAAAGGAACCACCAAGTGAAACAAAAAGATAAACAAACAAAACTGAAATCGAGTTAGTTCATCATCCCAGAAAGGCTGTGGGGCCTGAGACTGAAAACTAACCCTGCACAGTCCTGTTCAGCCCCCTCGTGACCTCACAGGAGGAGGAGCCTGGGGCAGGGCTACATCTTCGCCACTCTTCCCCTCACAGGGAGCTACAGCGCCTCAGGCCCTGCCAATGGCCAACCGGCGGGGAGAACCACACATCTGCCGAGCACTGAGCACTGCGTTGCTTCTGCAGACAGACTGCAGAAGGCTGTGTTGTGATTCATGGGCTCTGACAGTCACGTCAGCTGAGGAAGCTGGGCTCCTGTCAGGTCCTCAGGCTGAGGAACATCTGCTGCTGCCTTGGTGAGCTTGTCTCGTCTCGACTTGCTCTGAAAAGGCTTGTAATAGTTATTTGCAGAAACAGGAGGAGTGAGTTGGAAAAAGTGGTGTACGAGCAGAACCAACAAACAGCAGGTGCCCTGCCTTCAAGCTAATCCAGCCCCATCTCACCCCGGCACTACTGCGAGGCTGTGGCCTGGCCCCAAGGCCATTTGAGGCTGTGGGCAGGGAAATACGAGTGCAGCCTCGGACTCACACGACCTTAAGTTGGCCTCTGCTAGGACCCTTCTGTACCATCTGTGCTGTCCCTCAGCCTTGTGTTGTCATCTGGGGAGCAGAGCAGAGCCACTTTTGTGCTGTGTCAGGATTGACTAGCTAATGGTCATTGTCAGAGGTAGCGGTGATGGCTGCTGTTGGACCAAGGAAGTTTCTACCACTTCTACCATTTGTAGATTCCTGCAGTTTGTCTTTTGGGGGCAATATGTTCAGCACCATTAGTTTTTTGAGGGGTTGAGGTTGTGTCTCCAATTTATTTCCCTTCGTCCAAGGCCAACAGTTACTTTAAAGATACAGATGATGTCGTCCAACTCTGACTTAGTTACAGATAAGAATCCTGAACTTCAATTATGGTTCAGGTTTGTATAAAGTCCCCCAGCTAGCTAGAGCTGGAGCCAGGGAGTGTCTGTGCTAATTCCCGTGTTGGTTTTATCCGTAGGAGGAAGGCTCGCTACCGTGCCTGCAAGCACAGGCAGAAAAATGTGAGCGGTTCTAATTCATGGGCACAGTCTCCGTATAACCACCACCCAGTGAGCAGTGGCTCGCCCCACCACAGAAAAACCCTGCAACTGTCCCTGTGTGCCGCCACCAGCATTTCTTCAGCAACACGGGTGAGAGGCAAGCGTTCAGACCATGGAAGGCAGCCCCTTAGGAGAATCACCATGGAGAGCTTCCGTGCTGGTATTTTTAATGAACTGTTTAAAGCGTAGACTTGTGGCTCCTGGTGGGGGAGCTGCCAGGGGGACAGTTCACTGCTCCTCATCCAGAGGGGCCAGTGTGCATCACTGAGGCCAAGCTATTCCTATAGAGTAAGCTGGACAGTTGGTCCCAATGCAGTATGGCAGTATACAAAGCAAGCTGGCTGGGGGTGCTGAGCCACTGATCTGTAGTCTATAATGCAAGTTGACCGCAGAGTTGAACTGCAATCGTCTGCAGTCTACACAGCAAGTTGGGCGGGGGGGTGGGCAAGCTGCAGTTCTAAGGTCTATAAAGCAAGGGTAGCTTGGCAGGGGCACAACCAGGCAGCGTGGAACAACATGGAGGAGATTTTTTTGTAGCCTTCCCCTAGCTGTTTAGTGCGTGCTATGTGACCTGTCTCTGTGTGACTGAGGGAGCCCAGGGCTGCTTGCTCTTTTACCCAGAGGTCAGCATGGTTCCCAATGCCAAAGAATGACAGGGCCAGTGTGTCTGTGACTGTGTGATCTACACTTGGCAGCACAGCGTGTCCCAGGGTCATCTCCTGGGTGACTCTGGGTACCTGGTATCATGACAGGAAGGGCTGAACAATCTATGGGTCCCATCAAGAACATCGCAGTGGATGGCTCTTTTCTATCTCTGTGTTTGGTTTTCATGACTGTTTAACAAAAATAGCCCAGCCTGTCTGTAATCAGTAACCGGTGAGGTCAGGTATAGCTCTCATGGAGATCTGTGGGAATGGAGAGGGGATTTAATCACGAAAATGGCCTGGCTGGTCTCTCCAAGGAGGGCCCAAATGATGCCTTGGATGGCTTTCATTTCTTGCTAAGACACCCATCTTCATTTCAGGGGTGAGCTCGCTGACGGTGCGGGACTGCTGTTTCTCAGTGTCTGCGGTGCCAGGGGACGGTGGCAGAGGCATAAATATGCAGTAACAAGCTCTGTGAGCGCACGGGGATCTCAAGAGAACTTGAGAGATGCTACAGGTGAATGGAGCTGTACCTTCCTGCAAGGACTGGGAGCAGAGGAAACTGAGGAGGGAGGGAAAGGGACCCCATGCCCCACATCTTTCTGGAATGAGCCAAGACTCCCTTCCGTTTAGGCGAGCAGAGGCTGCAGGTCCAAAGCAGAGGCGCGGCCAGCTAGAAAAGCGAGAAGCGTGATGAGAAGGGGGTGTGGGAGGGCAGAGGAGGCTGAACTTGACTGGAGGGGAGACGCTGAGAGATGGTGCTGGGTCCTGACTGGTTGCCCGGTTCCAGCTATGATAGGGGAAAGATCGGGTCCAGCTCAAGTGTCCACACACTGCCCTTCAACAGGACCCAGGGTCCCCTTGCGAATCCATACAGGCGGTGGACTTCCGAATAATGCTGTCCATGGCGGCGGGCAGCTAAGGAGCATGCTCGGCAATGAGCGGGAATGTGAGGAAGTCCCCTGAAGTTCTGGGGAAGGTTCCACCCCCGCCGGGAGTCTTCCCTTTTGTCTTTCCACCCACCCAACTAACTGCTTCACCTGTCCAGCCAGAGTTGACTTGACTCCTGGGTCTCCTCCCATCCTCTGTGCCTCCACCCGCCAGCACCATGAGGACTCTGTAGCCACTAATGACAGCCCCAACTCGTTCCTTTCTGTGTGTTCCTATGTCTGCAGCTTTCCATTGTCTCCTTCTTGGCTAGGTGGGGGACACATTCAGGCAAAGGGCTGGCTTTTCTCTTTCCCTGTTCCCATCTGTGTCGTCTTCCTAGTGAGTACTGTTTGAAGCTACACAGCTCCTACACCTGAGCTCATGATCCCCTGCATCATGGGAGAGGCTGGCCACCTTCCTCCTCGTGCAGACTGCACATACCTGCAAAGGGCAAAGGCATGTTCCAGCCATGCCATACCCAACATCATCCCGGAAGTCTCCAGCTTCCAGGACATGCGTATACACATGTATACAAGTTTTGCCCACCTTCACAAGCCAATCACCTCTGATGTTTGCTTCCGTCTCTGAGGGACCCGTGGGCACCACAGTGAGGTCTCAACCCTGGAGGTGTGCAGCCTTGTCTAGAGCACAGAGCTGCGATGTCTAACTGCACCCCCAGTAACAGGCACACAGGTGTCTCTCTGCAAGGAAAGCCATTGCTATTGTTGTGGCCCCATGTGTGGGCCACCTGTGCGACACAAAGATGCCAATTGTCTTTCTCTGCTAATCGCTCATATTAGAGAGATACCTTGGGGCCCTCCCCTCACAGATCAGTTTAATTACAGGCCCGAATGCCCGCTTGGGTTGGGGCACCAACTGGGAGCCTCGGATTTCAATAAAGTCCAAACCGCTTTGAAATCTAAACTCTGCCAGCCTTCAATTACCCACGCCGAGGAAAGGGAGCATGGATAATCCCAAGCAGCGGATGATTAAAAAATCATCTCTCCTGGCTTTTGGGAAGAACCATATGCTATTTGCAACAGAGCAGCAAAATTTCCTCTCCAGTGATGTTTTGCTGCAATTAATAATGCAGTGAACTCGCATTCCTCCTCGTGCGCCCGCTGATGGTAGGGCAACTTGGATAGAAGGGGGTCTTCAGAAGCACGTTGAATGGAGGGAGGTGACAGGGTGGACGGAACCTGAAGCACTCATGGGAAACCAAGTTCTGGTCTCTCTCTCTCTCTCTCTCTCTCTCTCTCTCTCTCTCTCTCTCTCTTTTGAACTCAGGGACTGAAGATCCCCCTGTGGCAGCACCCAGCACCTCGGTCTGGTTAACTGCTCTAGCTGAAGCCTGACCCGTTTGCCTCAGACATTGGTTCCCACACCAGGACTGCTGTGCCTATGGCACACAGCGGCTATAGGAACGTCTCCATCCCATTGCTCGTGTGTCCCACCAGCCTAAAACACCCTTTACCCTCGCGTCCCATGTGAGCGTCATCTGTTCTTTAAATGATCGGTTTCCCGTTTTCTTTACTAAGCATGCCTGTGGGAGCAATTGTTTTCTTCCCATCTTCCTCTCCCCTTCTGACTGCCCACGGTACTTTCTGACTTAGACGGAGTGAGCGTCATAGCTGGGTGGGGAGGAAGAGATATGTCAGACCTTTTAACATGTCTGCTCCATGGCAAGTGCCCTTCTACATGCAGATTGGAGGACTCAGGCCCACAGGAAGATGTAAAGATGCTGAGAAACACACCAGGGTTGTTTCTGCCATAACTCCCAAGGCAGATTTTAACCTTGGCTTGTTTCTTTGTGTGTGAGACAGGGTTTCAAAAAGATAGGGTTTGTTCAGTCCTGCTTGTCCCAGAATTCACTCTTTGGACCAGGCTGGCCTCAATGAACTCAGAGTTCCACCTGCTTCTGCCTGCAGAGTGCTGGGATTAAAGGTTGTGTGCAACCACTGCCTGGCTAATTTTAGTCTTTAGTTAAAAAAATCTGTGTGTGTGTGTGTGTGTGTGTGTGCGTGTGTGCACACACATGTGTGCAGGTACACAAGCAGAGGTCAGGGAACAGCCTTGGCAGTCCGCTGCTTCTCCCTTGAGACAGGGTCTCTCGTTCCCTGCATCATCTGCCAGGTTCGCTGGCCCACAAATCTCGGAAGATTGTCCCGTCACAGCAACGCATCTTGTTACAGGAGCGCTGGGAGTACAGATGTGCATCATGACTGCAGAGTAAGCCAATAGATTATGTGCCTTGCTGGTGGGGCCTGGCTTGAGTTTCACTGCCACTGAACTGATTTCAAAAGATGACATCATGATTTGGCATTGCAATGAAAATTGCTTTAAAAATAGGCAAGCCTAGAAGCAGCAAAAATTTGTTATCAGCAAAGCAAACACCTATTGAAGGAAGAGTCACCCCAAGATTTTCTTGCACAGAAGTGAGCGGTTGGATCAACTGTGCTATAGCTTTATGGCCTAGGTTGGGTCCTGGGCTCACTTGGGTTGACCTTATCTGGGAGCTTGTGGGTTTCAGCCCACAGGCAGATGATCCGTACAAACGTGAACTCTGAAAAACAGCCTTGGGGACTTAAGGAGCAGTGATATCCTGGGTGGCTGTGGCTGGGTTAGGTTTTGTTAGCAAGATTATTGTCTGTACCGAACTAGGCCAGAAGCTTACAAGAGGAAGTATCAGCATCGGAAGAAAATATGGGTGCTAATAAGAAAGGATGTCACCAGCTTCCTTGAAAACCCATGGGGCCCCATGGTGTGAGAAACGCGAGTGGTGACGACGGCTAAAGAGAGAAGCAGGAATGAAAACGTGGAGATGCTTGATGGGACGCTTTTTCCACTCATCCCACTTGCGTTCCTTCTCCAAACGATGTAAGAAGGATGCATAGTAACGGGCATGCTTAAATAAATCTAAAAGGAAAAATGTCCGAGAAAAGACATCACAGTTTAATTAAAAACATGGCCCGCCCTTGTCCTCAATGAGGTGACTGTATCTTATAAAGCATTTTAGAGCTCACAAAACACAAAATTCCAGCGCTTCTCTAAATTACCCTTTGCCCAAGAACTTACGTTTTAGTGACTACTGTCTGCATTCTGATGATTGTTTACTACATCGAGATATTCTACATAAAAATCAATTTTGAATCCAGGCGGGGGTGGCACATGCCTTTAATCTGAGGCAGGTGGATCTCTGTGAGTTCTAGGCCAGCCTGGTCTACAGAGTAAATTCCAGGATAGCCAGGGTCACATGGAGAAGCCCTGTCTCAGAAACAAAACAAAACAAAAAATGAAAAAATGAAACAACAACAAAATAAATTTTAAGCTTTTGAGTCTACTTTTGAAAGATTTTTGTTAGGCCTGCCTATTCTATGCCACTCACCTATTAAGAGAAGAACAGGTTGTTCCAGGTACCTTAGAGTTTGTTACCAACAGATACCCTGAACCATTGTCTGTCACAAGTTATACACAAACTAGTACCTTGGGGGAAATTTTGGGGAGGTTAAATAAGAAGGCAGAAATATCAGATCAAAAGTGGGAGTAAGGGGGCTGGAGAGATGGCTCAGCAATTAAGAGCACTGGCTGCTCTTCCAGAGGTCTTGGGTTCAATTCCCAGCATCCACATGGCAACTCACAATTGTCTGTAACTCCAGTTCCAGCAGATCTGATCCATTGGTGGTCCCTGCATCAGTGCACATAAGATAAAGTTAAGTAAAAAAGGAAAGATGGGAGCAAGACTGGGAGATTTTTTTGGTGTCATATTTTATTTTATTTTTGAGACAGGGTCTCTCTGTGTATATGTGGCTGGTATGGAGCTCACCGTGTAGCCCAGGCTGGCCTTTGAATTCATACAGAGCTGCCTGCCTCTGCCTCCTGTGTATCTGGATTAAAGGAATGAGCCACCCTGTCCATCTTAGGCTGACATTTTGCTGGAGTTTGTGTTGTGCTGGGGAGCAAACCCAGGGTTTAACTCATGCTAGTCAAGCGCTCTGCACTGACCCGTATCCCTTGTCTGTGGAGGGCCGCAACCACATTCTCCATTGCTTCAAGGAACAAAGGTAGAGATTGACCTCTGTGACCCCAAGGTGTGGCGGTACACGCCTTTAGTCCCAATGCCTGGGAGACAGAGGCAGATTGACCTCTGTGACCTCAAGGCGTGGTAGTACACGCCTTTGGTCCCTATGCCTGGGAAGCAGAGACAGGCAGATCTCTGTGAGTTCAAGGTGATGTAGCACACGCCTTTATTCCCAGCGCTTGTGCTTGTTAACTCTCTACCGCTGCGTCCCTGCCTACTCCCGAGGCATCATCTGGGATAATGGGCAGCGGACCAATCCAAGAGTGACACGTCAGAAGCGAGGACTGTTTCCTTTATAAGGGCTGGGTTCCCCTCATTCTGGGTCTCCGCCATGTTGGCTGATGCTCGCTCTCCCAAGGGGCATTAAAGCTTTACTGCAGAAGGATCCTAAGTGCCCCGCGTCGTTCTTGCTGGCGAGACGGTAGTGCGGGACACTTGTCTCCAGACTCTTTAACAGCTGGACACCCGCTTTGCTATGGCAACCAGGAAACATTTCAAAGCCCTTAGTAGCTGTTATCCTGTTTGTTGTTTTGTTTTGGTTTTTTTTTTCTTCCTCAATTGGTCACAGAATAGACTGACCTGAGAAGAAGACCCTCAGTGGAGAAAATGCCTCCATCAGATTGTTTATAGGAAAGTCTGTAGGGCATTATCTTGATTAACGACTGGTGCGGGAGGGTCTGGCTCATTGGACCCTGCCTGGGCAGATGGTCACGGACTGTATGAGAAAGCAAGCTGAGTGAGTCAGGAGGAGCAGGTCAGTGAGCAGCCTTCTTCCAGGACCTCTGAGTCAGTCTTTCTAACAATTTCTTCCGCGTCCCTGCCCTGACTTTTTACCATGACGTCTCTGCATGATGGACTCTAATCTGTGAGGTGAGGCAAACCCTTTCCTCCCAAAGTTGCTTTTTGGTCACGGTGGTTAACACAGCAACAGAAAGCAAATGGAGACGAAGAAAGTAACGAAGACAGCTATTATCAAACCAGGAGTCTAGCCTCATTTTCACAGATGAAAGAAATGAAGCAGGGTAAATGAGACCCCCCCCCCCCAAGAAACAAGGAGAGTCGGGGTACAGAGTCACAGGAACATTGCCCATGTCCCTTTAAGGGCTTCCCTGCTGCCACGGAATCTGCAGGCTGGGGTGGAAAAGCATGGATGTCTCCAGTGACAGACTGTTTGAAAACCATTGTTGTCGGTAACCTGTCTCTACACCAGTCCTCAGGTGGGTTATCCATGTTGCTACCTGTTGACTAATAATGCCCAAGGATGGGCGCCCCTGGCCTTTACGCCCCACACTCTTTGCTACCTGCTCTTTTCTATGGAGAGGCCTCCAGCACCCCAGGCTTCTTCCCATGCAAATTCCCATGTCTTGCTGTGTTCTTAGAATGCTTTATTTCCTTTTGAGTTCAGCTTTTGTCACACTTTCACTGTGTGACTGTCCCCATGCCCAGCCTCGGGGATGTCATCTCACTCCTGACCCTTGGCCATACTTCCTAACCTTGCTGGGAGAACCCCAAGACTCTCACTCTTCCCTAAGGTAACTCAAAATGCTGGCCTCAGAGGTCAGCCCTCTTCTGTCTCATCTTACTAAATGGTTATCCATCTTTGCTCATAAGGGAATCTCACCTGGGGCACACATGAAAAGTCCTTCGGGACTCGGGCTACACATGTTCTGCCAATTGAATCAGAAAGTCTGAGATGGGTTTCGAAGCCAGTAGATCTCCAATTTTGCAAGTGATTCCAATGTTCAAATCAATGTGCAGGACAGTAAATCCTGTTGCTCGCCTCCTTTGACTTCTTCCTAGCGAGGTTCTTCACCTAAAAGCTTTTTGGTCATCTCTCACCAATACACAGGCACTTTCCAGAAACAACGTCTGCTTTTTGGTTTTTGTCTTTTTGAGGCAGAGTTTCTCAGTGTAGCCTTGGCTGTCCCGGAGCTCGCTTTGTAGACCAGGCTGGCCTCCAATTCACGGACATCTGCCTGCCTCTGCCTCCCGAGTGCTGGGATTAAAGGTATGCATCACCACCACCATCTGGCAACAGCTTCTGCTTTATGGAAAAAGAAAAAAGGAAGACAGCCAATACTTAGCATCCAGTCTGTAGTCTTTCTAATACAGACGAGCAAAGAGATGCTGCGACCCACTAGTGATCTTCCCAGGAGGTGTGGACTAGCACTGATGAGGTGCCCAGCACCTCCCCTTCCTGTGTCTCTGGTGCACGTGTGTGTACCTTCTTGTACATTCTTTTTTAAAAGCCTCTTTTCACAGCTGAGCATCTCAATTGGACTTCAAGCCCTCGCCATTCCCTCTCCATCCTGATGTCCATATTTCTGGTCAGTCGATCTTTCTTGAGCCTTTCAGCCTGACCTTCTGCTGTGAATTGTGAAGCCTCCTTTTATCCAATGGCCAATTCCATTCTGAAGCAATGGACATGCCCCTTCTGGAGTCCCAAACGGCTCTACCATCTGGCTGCCCAACTGTTCAAGTCAGATGTACCTGAGGTCACTGTAGGTTCCTCCAACACCCATACCTCATGTCTATCAGGGCATGTCGATTGTGCTTCACACATTTTTAAAATTCGCATTCCACTCTGCATCCACAGTTTTGCTTCTCTCTGGGTTACAATTGTTTGCTTCAATCGCTATGGTCTCTTGGTGTCCATCTCGGTGAGGCCAGAGAGTCATTCTCGCTGCCTTCAAAGTCCACAATCCTTACCACGTGATCCAAACCTTACCTGAATAGTTCCTGCTTATAGCCCCCCCCCCACTGCCCTCCATCCTAGTCCACAGCCTTTGAAAATACAGGCGTAAAACACACATCGT